ATCAGTAAAAACAAGGCCAGGGGCAGACTGAAACAGACCATCAATTGCTCATATGCAAATTCAAACTGAAGCTGAAGAAAATGAAAACAAGTCCAGAAGAGCCAAAATATGACCTTGAATATATCCCACCTGAATTTAGAAATCATCTGAAGAAAAGATTTGATACATTAAACACTAAAAACCAAAGACCAGAAGAGTTATGGGATGATATCAAGAACATCATACAGGAAGAAAGCAAAAAGTCATTAAGAAGACAAGACAGAAGGAGAAGTTCAAAATGGATGTCAGAAGAGACACAGAAACTTGCTCTCTAGCTTAGAGATGCCAAAGCAAATGGAAGAAATGAGGAGGTCCAAGAGCTGAACAGAAAATTTCAAAGGTCAGCTCAAGAAGATAAAGCCAAATATTATAACAAAATGTGCAAAGATCTAGAGTCAGAAAACCAAAAAGGAAGAACACCCTCAGCATTTCTCAAGTTGGGGGGACTGAAGAAAAAAATTCAAGACTCGACTTTAGTTATTGAAGGATCACAGGACAAATTATTGACTAATGCAGAAAGCATCCAAAGAAGATGGAAGGAATACGAAGAGTCACTGTACCAAAAGGAAATGGTTGATGTTCAACTGTTTCAAGAGGTAGCATATGGTCAAGAGCCAATGATACTGAAGGAAGAAGTCCAAGGTGCGTTGTAGGAATTGGCAAAGAACAAGGCACCAGGAATTGATGGAATAAAAATTGAAATCTTTCAAGAAAGTGAGGCGGCACAGGAGGCACTCACTCATCTCTGCCAAGAGTTTGGCCAACTTATTACAAGAGATCCATATTTGTGCCCATTTCAAAGAGAGGTGACCCAACAGAATGCGGAAATCATCGGACAATCTCTTCGATATCCTGTGCGAATAAAGTTTTACTAACGGTAATACAGAAATGGCTGTAAGTATACATTGATAGAAAACTTCCAGAGGCTCAAGCCAGATTCAGAAGAGGTATTGCTGATGTCTGATGGATCTTGGCTAAAAGCAGAGAGTATCAGAAAGTTGTTTACGTGTATTTTATTGACTATGCAAAGGCTTTCGATTGTGTGGATCATGACAAGCTATGGACAACATTGCGAAGTATGAGTATTCTGGAACACTTAATTTATGCTCATGAGGAATCTGTACATGGACTAAGAGGCAGTTGTTGGAACAGAACATGGGAACACTGAATAGTTTAAAATTAAGAAAGGTGTGCAACAGGGTTGTATTCTTTCACCACACGTATTCAACGTGTATGCTGAGCAAATAATTCAAGAAGCTGGGTTCTATGAAGAAAAACTTGACATCTAGTTTGGAGGAAGACTCATTAACAACCTGTGATATGCAGATGATACAACCTTCCTTGCTGAAAGTGAAGAGGACTTAAAATACTTGCTGATGAAGATCAAAGACCACAGCCTTCAGTATGGATTACAGCTCAATGTAAAGAAAACAAAATTCCTCAACACTGGACCAATAAACAACATTCTTATCAATGGAGAAAAGATTGAAGTTGTCAAGGACTCCATTCTTCTTGGATCAACTATCAACACTCACAGAAGCAGCAGTCAAGAGATCAAAAAACGTATTACATTAGGCAAATCTGCCGCACAAGACCTTTTTAAAGTGTTGAACAGTAAAGATGTCAGCTTGAGGACTAGGGTGCGCCTGACCCAAGCCATGGTGTTTTCAATAACCTTATATGGATGCTAAAGCTGGACAGTGAATAAGGAAGACCATAGAAGAATTGATGTTTTTGAGTTATGGTGTTGGAGGAGAATATTGAAAGTGCCATGGGCTGCCAAAGAACCAACAGATCCTTGTTGGAAGAAGTGCAGCCAGAGTGCTCCTTGGAGGCCAGGATGGCCAAACTTCGTCTCTGATATTTTGGACATATTGTCAGGAGGAAACAGTCGCTGGAGAAGGATACCATATTTGGTAGGGTGAGGGTCAGAGAAAAAGTGGAAGACCCCCAGTGAGATGGGCTGACAAAGTGGCAACATCAATGGGCTCAAGTGTGGCAACAATAGTGAGGTTGGCCCAGGATCTGGCAGTGTTTCGTTCTGCTTGCATAAGGTCGCTATGAGTCAGTACCGAATTGATGGCACCTAACAACAACAACAATTTTCCCTCTAAACCAAAGAAACCAAACCCATTGCCATAGGTCACATAGTGACCCTATAGGACAGAACAGAATGAATGGCCCCACAGGGCTGTCAAGACTGTAAATCTTGATGGAAGCAGTCTGCGTACCTTTCACCCACAGGGCAGCTGGTGGGTTTCACCTGCTGACCTGTTGGTCTGTTTTCTTTCTCCTGAATTCCCCTAAGCTATATGTTGGCTTCTAATTTTTCCTATACAGCTATGATACTTCTGATAAAAGGAAAAGCTTATGTGAAATTGCTTCAGATGACTCAGTCTATGGCTGAAATGATGCCAAGAACACAATTTTGATGTGACTTAATTCTCATTAGGGTTCTTCTGTGTCTCTGCAGGGACTGAAGGATGTTGCTGACAAAGGCTTCCACTGCTCATGGATAGTCACTGATTTTCTTTCTTTTTTCTCATTTAGAAGAGATACTAGATGGTGCTCTTGAATCTGATGATGATGAAGATGAAGACGACGAAGTAAGTCGGAGGCTTCTGTGACATCAAACAGAAGAGTCTTACCAAACTATTCTGGGGCTCTTCCTTGCCTTGAAAGTTAGTTTAGAAATGGGGGTTCTGATTCCTTTGTTTCCTACAATGCTGTGGGTCGGCCCAGGCTCAGTGGGGTGGTGGTTCTCCTGGTCTCTCTTTGGGCCTCATGCATCTGTTCTCACTGTCCCAGCTGCCTCTCGTCCTCCAGGCCCTCTCTCAAGTAGTTTACCTTGTGCTGAGCTCCAAGGGGAAGAAGGGGAAAGCTTCCGATCCTGTTCTGGGCTCAGGAGTCTTAGAACATCACTTATGTTACATTCTGGTCAATGCTGATCACAAGATTAGCACAGATTGAAGGATGAGAATAATATTGTTGTTGTTGTTAGGTGCCATCATGTTCTGACTCATAGCTGTATTATGCACAACGGAACAAAACACTGTGCAGTCCTGCACCAACCTCACAATCATTGTTATGCTTAAGTGCATTGCTACCGCCATTTTGCAAAGTCATCTCGCTGAGGGTCTCTCTCTTTTTCGCTGACCCTCTACTTTACCAAACATGATACCCTTCCCCAGGGATTGGTCTCTCCAGATAATATGTCCAAAGTATGAGAGATGAACTCTGGCCATCCTGGCTTCTTAGAAGCATTCTGGTTGTATGTCTTCCAACACAGATTGGTTTGTTCTTCTGGGAGACCATGGTGCTTTTAATATAACTCTAACACTGTAACTCGAATCAATTCAAAATTCTGCTATGATCTTCCTTATTCGTTGTCCAATTTTCACATGCACATGAGGCTATTGAAAATACCATGGCCTGGGTCATGAGCACCTTAATTCTCAAACTGGCATCTTTGCTCTTGAACACTTTAAAGAGGTCTTCTTGTGCAGCAGATATGTCTACTGCAATACATCATTTGATTTCTTGACTGCTGCTTCCATGAGTGTTGATTGTGAATCTAAGCAAAATGAAGTCTTTGACAACTTCAATCTTTTCTCTATTTATCATGATGTTATTTGTTGGTCCAGTGGTGAAGATTTCTGTTTTCTTTACATTGAGTGCAACCCAATAGACTCCGTCTTATTATGAAGGTAGCACCAAGAGAGTACAGAATGGGAGGAATGTCGGCGGCCATGTTTGACAATTTATCTATCACACCTAGAGTAGGCTCACAGAGATATAGCATTCTCTGTGAACTGGATTTTATGAGAAACTGAAAAGTAACAGTTGTCTTTGAAGGGGTCTGACCCCTTTTCCTGCCTTGCCCATGGAAACAATGTGGGCATCTAGCTTCATGGTGAAAATCTCTAGGGTGAGGGGCTCAGAGCTGGCCAAACCAAACATTTTACTCTGTTATTTGCAGTCTTTGGATCTAGGTTTTCTCAGCTGTAAAAAATCCAGTGACCTTGGTTTTTTTTTCTAGCCTGAAGGTTCATGAGTGAACTTGAGAATCACTGTGATGTAGTATATAGAACGGTGGCAGGGAGGTGGACTTGCAGGTGGCAAACGTGTTGATTGTCTTCCTTATGAGATTAGTAAAGCAGACAGTCTATTGGCTCTGGTTCACTACGGCAATACAAGACTTGTGCTCCTCGTCTTTTAGTGGGTGAATGTTGGAAGATGTTTTTGTTTTTTTAGGAGTTTCCCATTTAGTCTGCTTTCTTTCTTTAGTTTCTTAAAGTTTTTATTGTGAATTGAGTGACAGTTTAGAGTGCAGATCATCAGTTTTACATTCAACAAATTGTACACCTTGTTTCATTACAATTATAAACCCCTCCATGTACCATTGGTTAACAGTATTTCGCTCTATTTGCTTTATCTCTCTCTCTCTCTCTTTTTTTAAACACTCAGGCATATATAATAATTTACACCACCAAAGGGCACATTCTGTAAGTCTGCCTCCTGGCTCTTAGTCCCTTTCTTCCCATGAATCTAGAGTCCTCAGCTGCTCCCTCTCTCCATGTCCTCATCTCTGTCTCCATCTCTGGTGTCGCTGATTCTCTGGATAAGGTCTCACATTCTGCTCTTGCTCTTCGCCGGTGATGATCCTAGGTTTCTGTACTGTAAGATTAGCTACTCCCCCGTTTTTGTTACAAAACTTTTACCTTTACAATTGTGACAGTCGTATGTTACTAATAGTCATGATAACAATCACTCACTGTTGAATCATAAGAATCTTATCCCCATCTTTGGAAAATGTATTTTTACCTGGACGTGTGGCCTATTTGTTTTTAAATGTGTATAACAGCCAGGGGAGATGGTTCCTTTAAGAGCCTCTCCTTCATAGGGACCTGAGATCTGTGATGAGCTGGTGCCTTAGCCAGCAGCCTCCCTGCCTGCCATTCCCTTCACAACTCTAGGTGGCAGCAGTGGGTGGTGTTGGTCATTATTTTCTGCCTTCTGTGACTAGAGCAGTGCTTGACCTTTAATAGGGGTCTTGGCCATCATCTCCCCCAGTCCCCTCTGTTTACAAAGGTGGGTCCAGAGAGGGGAGGAGTTTGTCCTCAGTGCACACAGAGTTGGTGATTGTAGAATCTGGATAAATCAGGGGTTTGCAGACTTTTTCTGAAAAGATGCAGATAGTAAATATTTTAGACTATAGGCCATAACATCTTTATGCCTATTATTCAGTGCCACTTTTAGCTCAGAGCAGCCATAGATAAATGAACGAGTGTGGCTGTGTGCCAATAAAACTTTATTAGTGGACATAAAACTTTAGAATTCCACATAGTTTTCATGTGTCATTACTCTTCTTTTGATCTTTTCCTTAACCATTGGAAAAAAAATCATTCTTAACTAAATGGGTCATACAGAAACAGGCAGCAGACTGGATTTGCCCTGTAAGCCAGAAAGTTGCTGACACCATGGCCAACTTTCCACGGCTGTACTCAGACACTATCTTATTGCCTGCTTTAGTTTCCATTTTGAGTTGCTATTTTAATTCTTTAATTTCAACAACTTTTTGTCATTGTGTCCAAAAGTGTTTACCAAGATCCAGTTTTGTTTTTTTTTTCTCTTCTTCCCATGTCATCCCTATCTGTTTGTATTGTAAGGAAAATTCCATTTTGGTTCAGGTGTTTTGGTTAATTATGGAAACTCAACTTTTGGGAAAAAGTTATATAAGCAATTGCAGTCTGCTCTGAATGAACAAATATAACAGTTTTCTTTTAATTTTCTATTTCCGTTCTGGGTGATGGTTGAAAATGTTTGTTGCGTTAACTCAAATTTTCAAATACTCCTAGAATAGGTTTGTTGTTGTTGTGTGCCGTCTAGTCAGTTCCAACTTATAGTGACCCCATGTGGCGCTGTGAGCTAATGTGTCAGACTGCTAAGTCATTTGAACTGCAAGGTCGGTGGTTCAAGCTCATCAGCTGCTCCTTGGAAACCCTATACAGGGTCGCTATGGGTCAGAATAGACTCGACGGCACTTCACAACAACAACACAGAGTAGAACACTAGGTTTAAGGCAGTAAATCTTGACGGGACCAGACTGTCACATCTCCTGTGATTCCAACCTTTAAGTTATCAATTGAGGGCTACACCACTGGTTTGCAAGGGCGTTAGAATAGGTTTAGTAGGAAAAGATCTGGCATCTGGGGAGAAAACTTGACTCTTTTCGTGATGAACTGAGGTCCACAAAGCTGGGCTTTCTGAGGATCCCTACAGAACATTAGTGAGGTGCTTGGGCAGAGTGGCTCATCTTCATTTTACTGTACTGTCACAAAGAGCAGGTGTGACTTTCATCATTCTCATGTAAAACTGGCACAAGGGTGGGCAGACACCTAAAGAATGATAGACACTTAGGCCAAAGGAAGATTTAAAATCTCAGTTGAGTGGTAGCAACTTCATTGAAAACAACAAAATTATTTTGAGGTGTTTTAGAGTCATACCTTATATTTCCTTCTTGTTGTTAAGTGACATCATGTCATTTATGAGACTCATAGCGATCCTGTACAGGGTTTCCAAAGAGCAAAGTAAAGTGAGATTTTTGAAAATGTCATCGTTAGACCTAAACTGTAGAGAGTGGTTTACAGTTTTCAGTTAGCTGCATAATGACCCTAAAGATAAAATGGTACCACCTGGGTGGCCCCAGAGGCCAGGGGAGACATGCAGTCTTGGTCTTCCATTGGGTTGAGCTCACACAGGGCCACCAGCCACTGGCCCTGGTGAGGCTAATGGCAAATTCCAGTGTCTCCCCCAGAGACAGCATCTAGGTTTTCTCTCTAGTTTCTAAAAATGATAATGAATTGTTTAGTTTATGTGTGAATATGTATATGTTTATAGACCAAAATATATTTTTAATGTTATCTTCTGACTGGTAAACTATCTAAAATACATTGTTGTTATTAAGTGCCGTCCAATTGGTTCAACTCATAGCAACCCTGTATAGGGTTTCTATGGCTATAAATCTTCATGGGAGCACAAAGACACATCTTTCTACCATGGAGTAGCTGACAATCTCAGATCGCGGACCTTGTGCTTATTGTATGGGGCCATTGTGCTCCTGTCTAAGATACAATGTCAAATTGAAAATATGTATTATTCTGTATCAGGAAAAACAAGCTATAAAACACCTCCCTGTGAATTATGTGTGCTTATAGATACACCCAGCAGAAAGCTGTGGAAAGGTACACGCTTCTTGTTGACTGTGGAAACCTCAAGGGGATGGCTAGGGATAAAGAAGTAAAGGTGAGAGATGAGATGATGCCTGGGTTTCTATGAGTTGGAACCTGCTGGACAGCACTCACAGCAACAACAACCCAGGGCCCAGGGCTGCATAGTCCAGGGAGGTGAGGACAGATGGGCCAAGAACTGAGCATTTCGTAGACGATGGGGCAGAGACCAGAAGTGAAAACATGGAGCAGCTCCTTCCACACATGAGACTGTGAGCAAGGAGAGAGGGCACATCACAGTGCCCAAGGGAAGGGTCCAGTCGAGAAGGAGAGGTGGGACATGTTCAAGGCAGGAAAAGCCGAAGGATGGCCTCCGA